AGTCAATTAAACCCTTAAACCCAAAGTAAAGAGAAGAGAGGAAGTAATAAAGAGCAGATATAAGTGAAATAGAAAACAAGTTGGTTTTTTAAAAGATTAGTACAATTTATAAATTCATAGCAACACAGATTAGAGAGAGAAGACAAAGTAGCTTTATCAGGAATATCAGGGAAAATCACAACATATTCTACAGAAAATGAAAGGGTAATAAAGGAACACTGTACAACTTGATGCCAATGAAATCCAGCTAAGATGAGATGGACAAGTTGCTTGAAATCTCATATTGCCAAATGAAATAACAAGAAATAGGTAATATAAAGAGATTTATGAAAGGAAATCAGATTATTATTAAAGCATTTCCAATGAAGAAGAAAATCAGCCCTAATCAGCTTTGCTGTTGATTTCTGCCAATAACTTAAGGGGTGGGGAGAATACTAATATTACATAAGCTCTATTTGAAGGACGGAAAAAGGTGGGAACCCTTCCCAATATACGTTGTAAGGTCAGCATCACCCTGATACCAAAACCTGGTTAAAGACATTGACAGAAAAAGTAATGACAAACTAACATTTCCCATAAACATGACACAGAAATCCTTAACCAAGAGTTATCCGATTGAATCCATACAGAGGGGCATTCACAGTGACCAAGTAGAATTTATTCCAGAAATGCAAGTTTGGTTTCACATCTGAAACCCAGCCAACGGAAGTCACCACATTAAGCAAGTAAAAGACTTCTTAAAAGCAGAATCTTCTCAATCAATTTAGAGAATGACTTGGCAAATCCAGCATCCTCTCACGGAAAAAAAACTCTCAGCCAGCTGAGGCTGCAAGGGCCTTGTCTCAATCTGATAATGTGCATTTACAGAAAGCGACATCCTGTTACTGTAACGTGAGATACAGAGCTTGTCTCCCCCGAAGCTGGAACAAGGTAAGGTGTCTGCTTTCATTTCTGTTCCGCAGGGGAGGTCCTAGCTACTATAATAAAAGTGAAAGACATAAAAGGCATTACAATTGGAAAGGGAGAAATAAAGATGTCTCTGTGTCAGTGGTCAGCAAACTCATTAGTCAACAGAGCCAAATATCAACAGTACAACGATTGAAATTTCTTTTGAGAGCCGAAAACCAACTTCTGCACATGGGCCATGAAGTTTCAATCACACTGGGTGTGTGCCTGCACGTGGTATTTTATGGAAGAGCCACACTCAAGGGGCCAAAGAGCCGCATGTGGCTCATGAGCCGTAGTTTGCCAACCACTGCTCTATGTGGAGATGGTGTGTTTGTTTAAATAGAAAATCTTAAGTAATCTTTAATAAGGACTAAAAGCAATAATTGAATTCATCAGGTCAATATATTGACAGTAATTGGCAGTTATATGCTATTAGCAGCAAACAAATGGAAAATGAAATAGAAAACAGTTTTAAAATATCACCCCCGCCCCTCCAAAGAAATTATTAGGAGTCAATTGAGCAAAACAGGTGCAACACCTCTGTACAGAAAATCATAAAACATTTCTGAGGGAAACTAAAGAAGAGTTACTAAGTAGAGACTTCTACCGCGTTCATGCAGTAGAAGATTCAGTATCGTGGATAAGTCAGTTCTACCCAAACTGAGCTATAAATCTTAAGTAATCTCAAATAATATTCCAATAGATGTTTTTCATATAAGTTGATTTGAAAATGTCTTTAAAAAAATAGGAGCTAGGATACCCCAAACAATCTTAAGAAAGAGAATATAGGCAGGAGGACTCCCTGTAGCTGATTTTATAAAGCCACAGTAACCAGGGTGCTGTAAAGGTAAACACCAGTGGAGCATAATAAAGAGCCCAGAAATAGACCCATGTATGTGCAGACCATTGGTGCCAGCAGAGCCACCAAATTCACTGGGGAAAATGCTTTCGTAAGTGATGGAAAACTGGATAAATGAGCCTCATCTCATCCCACTCAAAAATCAAGTTTGGGTGGATTACAGAGCTAACCAGAAAAACTAAAACTGTAATGCTTCCATAAGAAATGTTAGGACAGTATCATCATCATCCTGGGGTTGGCGAAGATTTTAAAGAGCAGACATAAAAAGGACTAACCATAAACACAAATTTTTTTGTAAATTGGACAGCTTAAGAACTTAAAATTTGCTTATCAAAATACTGCAGAGCCCAGCCAGCACAGCTCAGTGGCTGAGCATCAACTTATGAACCAGGAGTTATGGTTCGATTCCTGGTCAGGGCACTTGCCTGGATTGTGGGCTCAATCTCCAATGTGGGGTGTGCAGGAGGCAACCGGTCAATGATTCTCTCTCATCATTGACGTTTTTATCTCTCTCCCTCTCCCTTCCTCTCTGAAATCAAGAAATATATATTTAAAAAATAAATAAAATTTTGTTATATATATATATATATATATATATATGTGTGTGTGTGTGTGTGTGTGTGTGTGTGTGTGTGTATTTTATACACACACACACACACACACAGATTTTATATATCCTATATAATAAAACCCTAATATACAAATCAACCTAATGGCGGAACGACCAGTTGCTATGATGCTCACTGACCACCAGGAGCAGACACTCAATGCAAGAGCTGCCCCCTCGTGGTCAGTGCACTCCCACAGGGGGAATGCTGCTCAGTCAGAAGCCCGTCTCATAGCTGGTGAGTGCAGCAGCAGGGGTAGGAGCCTCTCCTGCCTCTGTGGCAGTACCAAGGATTCCTTGGGGGATGTCTGACTGCCGGCTTAGGACCACTCCCTGGCAGGCAGACATCCCCTGCAGGATCCTGGACTGCAACAGGGCATGGGCCAGGCTGAGTGACCCTCTTCCCCCCAGCACACAAATGTCGTGCACTGGGCCTCTAGTGTTCTTATAAATATGTATATCTATATATATCTATATCTATCTATATCTATCTATCTATCTATCTATATATACACACACACACACACACACACACATACACACACACACACACACACACACACACACACACACGTGTGTGTGTGTGTGTGTGTGTGTGTGTGTGTAAAATATTTCTAATAACCAAAATATGGAAGTATGGTCTCATGGTATAATTTATTTGTTTCATTTGGGATGTTTTTATTGCAAGTAACAGTTTGCTTTTTGTAAGTTATTTTATTCTGCCACACTTCTGCTCATGAAGGAAGTGAAAGGGTGAGCCAAAGATTGAGAGAAAATATTCACACTATAAATATCTGACAAAAGACTCATCCAGAATGTAGGAAAAATTCCTACAAATCCTCTATAATAAAAGGTTAATATGCAAATCATTTCTTCAACCAGGAATTCAACCAGGGGGTGGGGCCGGCCAGCCAACCCCCTACAGCCCCTCCCCTCAGATGCCCCTGCCTCCAGTAGCCTCCCTCCCCCATCAGGGTGGGGCTGGCCTACCCATGTCCCCTTCCCCTGGCTGGCCCGGCCTGAATGGCCCTGATTGGGGCAGGCCAGCTGGACCCCACCCATGCATGAATTTGTGCACCAGGCCTCTAATAAATAATAAAAAGTATATAAATGGCCCACCTGTTTAAAATGGGCCAAACACTTGAACAAACACTTCACAAAAGAAGATATGTCAGTGGCCAGTAAACCAATACAAGTCACGTGACCTCATTAGGTATCAGAGAAAATAAAGGAAAATAGCAGTGAGGTACTATTCTACACCCATGAGAATGGCTAAGATGACAAAGACTAATAACAACAAGTGCTGGTAAGGGTGTGGAGCAACTGGAGCTCTCAAATGAAGTGTGTAAAATAGCAAAACCACTGGGGGAAATTTTTTGACACTCTATAAAGTTAAACATTTGCCTATCCCATGACCCAACAAACTAATTTCTAGCTGTGTATATTGACAAAGCAAAGTCTCTCTTCACCCAAAAAGACTTAAATAAAAATCCGTATGTTCTATTCACAACACCCCAAAATGGGAAACATTTCCAATGGCCCCAACAAGAGAATGCAGTAATAACTGGGTTATCCATCCACTGGGATGTTTCTCAGTGATGAAGAGCAGAATGTCTGTGGATACAGACAACACAGCTGAGTCTCCAAACCATCGTGTTGGGGGAAAGACTCCGTGTACAAAAAAGTAAGACATTGATTACATTTATATGAAGTTCAAGAAGAGGTAAAATTAATCCATCAGAAGAGTGTTTGACTCTGAGGACGTTTGGCCTGACCAGAAAGTGGCCCAGAGAACTTTCTGAGGGGATGTAATAAGTCTTATACCAGTGGATACAAAGCGGGGAGTAACCATGTAATTGCATTACCCTAATATAACCACCGTGAATGTTAATACTCCGGTGTATTTTGTTTCCAACATTCTGTTATTTGAAATTTTATGTGGTTGTAGTCATTCTGTACCTATATGCTTGTATCCCGATCTTCTTATTTCAGACATAATTTTTTGTTATTGTTGTTACCAAAAATCTTTTTTTAAATACCCTTTTAAATAGCCACACAAGGTTTAATTGAGTGATTGTTCTGTGCTTTATTTACTCAATTGTCCCCAGATTGAGCATTGAGATCCTTTCTAGCATTTCACTAGTGCAAAGACTGCTGAGGGAAATACATTTGTGCAGGAGGCTTTACCTGCAACTCAGATTCCTTTCATGGGCTAGATTCACAATGGTGGGCAAACTCATTAGTCAACAGAGCCAAATATCCACAGTACAACGATTGAAATTTCTTTTGAGAGCCAAATTTTTTAAACTTCTAACGCCACTTCTTCAAAATAGACTCATCCAGGCCAATGTATTTTGTGGAAGAGCCACACTCAAAGGGCCAAAGAGCCGCATGTGGCTCTCGAGCCGCTGTTTGCCGACCACGGGGCTAGAATTCTAGAAAATGGAAATTGTAGGTTAAAAGGGTGTGCTCTACATTTTTTCTAACGGGTGTCCCACCTGACCTTGCCCCAGAATCAGGCAGGAAGGGGCCACGTCTGTTTGCTCTTAAGTTTCCGCTCACGTGTGTGTTGGCTTATTTCCACAGGTAACCCCTGACGCTGCCTCGTGCGGGATCCCTCTGCCCTTCTGGTCCCAGATCCCTGTACTCTGTCTCGTGGCAGCCTGTGTCCCAGCCTCTCCTAGACCCACTTGTGGAGGAACCAGCCATCTCTCCATCTGCAGCCATGAACTTCCTCCGGCGACGCCTCTCGGACAGCAGCTTCGTGGCCAACCTGCCCAATGGCTACATGGCAGACCTGCACCGCCCGGACAGCTCCACCAGCTCGCCCTCGTCCCCCGCCATGGAGCGCAGGCACACCCAGCCCCTGGCAGCCTCCTTCTCCTCGCCAGGGTCCAGCCTCTTCAGCTCCTTCTCCAGCGCCATGAAGCAGACCTCACAGGCCCCCGTGGGGCCGGTGGAGCCGCCGGCTCCCCCCACACCGATTGTTCAAAGGCCCAGAGTCCTGTTGGTGATCGATGATGCCCACACAGACTGGTAAGCAGAACTGCAGTCCTGCCAGCTGTGGGCGAGAGAGGAGATGGGGCGTATCTCCCTCTGGTGGGGCTCGGTGAGGCTGGGTGCTGCAGAGACCGTCTGCAGAGAGGGAACCAAACATGGACCATGTGGTTACAGTGTGCCATCCGTGAGGCACCTGCAGGTCCTCAATCCTTTACCTGCAAATCCCAGAAGCTCTAGAAACTAAAATAGATGTTGTAATCCATTTGACAGGTACGGGGGGAATGTTTCTCTCTTTTCCGCGTCCATCTCCATCACAAGTTCCTGAGTGGAGGAGCTGGGGATTAAGAAATTAAAGAAAGAAAGAGACCAAGAGGCAGAAATAGATTCATCAAGCTAGGAGCTAAGTGGGTGCCATTTTCTCTGATGGAGAGGCAACAAGCACTGAGCCACACAGCATGTTTATTTTATAGGGTCAAATGGGCTTATTTGCCTTCTAAACTAGGCCCTAGCATTACTGGATTTACATATCTAGACCCGCCCCTGCTGACACCTGGACAAAGGTAAGTCAGTAACCGGAACACGGACTCTGCCAGTGCCTCGGGCTCAGCTGACAATTTAAAGGATGTCCATGTGCCTTCTCAGGCGGCCCTCTACATATAGGAACAAGAGACTATAATAGTCTCTTTATACCACTCTCTGCATGGCCATATGATTGACTGCAAGCATCTTCATGTGTTTCATATGGGGTGCAGCCCAGAGCCAACGGGGAGCATTATATATCATACACTCTCTTACCTTTCTAAAGTCATAAAACGTGCTTCACCTCTTTCAGCCTCAGGCATCCTCCCCCCATTAAATGAGGTTTCTATGAGATTAAGGGAAAGCAGCCCAGGCCCACAGTCCTCACTAAAACCCCTGCGATCAGAGTGGCTGGGTTCGCAGCCAGCTCTTCCACGCGCTGGTGGTCTGGCCTTTTAACACCACAAGTGGGTAGAAGCGACACTCCTTGCAGCCTCTTCTCACGGTAAGCTCTCGGCGCAGAGACCAGATAGGTGCGGAAGGCCATTGCAGGGGTCGTTCCGTGGGTAGTTACTGAGCACCAGGTGAGTGGGGAGCAGGCCCTCTCACTGGAGCTGCAGGTGGAGACTAGATGTGTCCTCCACATCTTGGGTAGAGACAGAAGATAAGAACTACTAGTGCAGGAAGTGAGCCCACCTGTGGGGAGTGGCAGCTCCCTGTCCAGGGCAGTTCTGACAGGCCACCTGTGGATGGCCGCGGGGGCTGGAGAGAAAGTTGCATCCCTGTGGTGTCCAAAGGAGGCCGCATAGCAGGCTCCCAGGAAATACGTGTTAAATGAATGAATTAATGCGCCCATTCACAAAGTATCCCAGGCGTTCTGTTATCCTGACAGGCAGGCTGCACCCACACTCCTCCCCTGAGAAGTTAGCTCAGGTTGGGAATGACTGAGTGGAAGAGGGAGTTTACAGTATGTGTTCGGTAGTCACCATTGAAGCAGCTTGAGCAGGTTCAGTGTCAGTCTTCACTTTCCTGCCCAGTAACCACGTCATCTTAGCCACAGTGGTCATGTGCATGGCCCCATTCTGACCCGGTCTGTGTTGTTTTCCGTGGGGTGCTTGCCGAGGGTTCCTGTCATGAAGCCTGTCCATCTCTGCCACGGGCTTATCTATGGAGAGGGCTGTCCGGCTCTGAGCTCAGGGGACGCTTTCTGCAGAGTGTTGTCTCCTAGCACCTGGTGATTGCATGCCTGCATGGTCTCTGCCGTTCCCTGTTTCTCTTTAACCCAGTGTTTGGCCTTGGTTTCGAGTTGTCTGCTGGCTTAGTCAGGGTTTGCGGTGATTTGGTGATGGGTAGGTACTTAAACACCTATTTGTCAGGAAAGCCACTTCCTGGATGGAGGCTGAGCTGATAAATGGCAGCATGGTGCGGTGGTTAAGAACACAGCCTTCGGAGCTGTGCTCTCTGGGTTCAAATCCAGTCTCTACTCCATTGTACCTCTATGACCTTTGCAAGTTACTACACCCAAGTGGGAGTGATAATAATAGCTACCTTGTAGGGTTAATAAATGTAAGTAAGATTGAAGTCTGAGTTAATACAAAAGTGCTGATAGACAGTAAGTGCTATTTAAGGCTATATTGCCCTAGCTGGTGTGGCTCAGTGGATAAGAGTATCAGCCTGCAGACTGAGGGGTCTTGGGTTCGATCTTGTCAAGGGCACATACCCAGGTTGTAAGGCTCCATTCCCAGGGTAGGGCATTCAGGAGGCAGCCGATCAATGTGTCTCTCTTCCATTGACATTTCTCTCTCTGTCTCTCCCCCGCCCTTCCACTCTCTCTAAAAAAATCAATGGGAAAAAAATAAAATACAAAATAAATGAATGGAAAAATATCCTTGGGTGAGGATTAACAAACAAAAAATAAAAACAAACTCATAAAAGTGTCCATTATTACTGCAAGCTATTGTAACCTTCTTGCAGCTTTAGCCATTTTGGTCTCTCCTCCCTGTGCGCAGAGGCTGTGTGATACAGTGGAAGGGCACAGGGAATGAGGCTGCAGTGCAATGAATGGTCTCGGTCTTCGCTCCCTGTAACCCACAGGCACGGCCAATGTGTGAATCTCAGGCTGTGCACACTGGCGGGGGGCACCAGTTTGGCTAAAGGAATTCTCACGTTGTATTTCAGTCATGTTCTTATGCCCGTGTTTCAATCAGGTCTGAAGATTTTAACCAAGTCTTCTTGGCCCTAGGTGGGAAGGAAAGAAGTGAGGAGCTGAGACTCATTCACTGGCCGGAAGTTGGCTCTGCATCACTGAATGTTTGTGATAGGAACTCCCTGCCCGCGGGCACATCAGCTTCTCATTCAGAACTCCATTTTACACTCTTTGCAAACTTCCTCTCTTCATCTCAATACATTCCCAACTTTCTCCAAAGGGATGCTGGAGGCTCAGAATCCCGGGCCTTCCCTGCAGATTCCTATTCCCACTCCCAAGAGTGGCCACCAGGTGGCGAGCCAGCCCCACTGTCCAGCTTAGTCTGCCTTCCTTATGCCCCTGACCAACCTGGGACAGCCTCCTGAGAGAAAGAGTTGCTGAGGGGGGAGGGAGGGGGGGGAGTCAGCTCCCCCAGCTCCGTCCCTCCCTCTTTGAGATGACAATGATGGGAGATGATCCACCACCTACCCTCTGGACTGACAGGGAACCCACCAGGAACAAGCTGCTCCTTTTTCTCCCTTCTCAGCCCAGAGGCCCATCTTTCCACCCAATCGGGGGGCCTTCCTGCTGGCAGGTATCCCTGCAGGTGAGGGAGTTGCAGGAACAGCAGACTCCAGCTCTCAGACTCTGTGAACCAGCCTGGGCCCCAAGGCCGCTCTGCTACCTGGCCAGTGACCTGGGGAAGGGGGGCTTTTTGTCTTTTGAGTAGAGATAGAGGGTCCCAGAGCCAACTTCTTTGGGAAGCAGGACTCCTGGCTCAGCACTCTAAGATCCCACCACTTGGAGGGAAGCCTGGCTAGGGCACGGATGTTGGGGATCTTTGGACCAGCCCCCAAAGCTCAGGCCTGGCTCAGGAGTAGGTGTGAGCTGGAGTTGGTGATGTCCTCTGGGATGAGCGAAGGTTGGTCCATCTTGAGAACCACAAGAGGAAGGAGGAATAAAGAACATGGATTTCGAACTCAGGTTTCTTTAGCCTTGCTGTCTCTCCACTGCTTCTCTTGCCTGCATGACCCCAGCAGCTTCACTGGCCTCAGGCCTGCAGACTTGACCTCAGTGTGCTCCCATGCCCCCATGCATCCCCTGTATAACCTTTTGCCCTCAAGTTCAAATTCAAAGTCCTAGGCATGTCTGCCCTCTCTTTAGTTCTGCACCTCCACTTCCTGCCTTGCTGCCTATTCTAAAGGAACAGCAACTTGTACTTGTACTTCTCACACATGCTCCCTTTTGCCTCCACAAATTCTGTTTCCTGCTGCCTGAAATACCCTTCTCTATCTGGCTCATTTGGCCAATTTCCTTTCTTCCTTCAAAGCCTGGTCAGGTGTCACCTCTTCCATGAAGTCTTCCCTGATGCACCCCACCCTGCCGTTGGTGCTCACAGCCACCTCTCTGTATAACTTAACATATATCTCACTGTGCCATGGCTGCCCACATCACATTGTGTTATAATTGGCTGTTCAGTAGTCACTTTTGCAAGAATGAGGCCAGTGTCTTATTCTCTTTTATATGCCTGGGGCTCGGCACACAGGGAGTACCCCATTAGCAGCTGTCATCACTCCACTCCAGCCTAAGGGGTAACTTTAAATGGGCATCATAGGATCTGAGACTCATCTACCTTAGGAGTCAGCAGTTCAGCCCACACAGGTGCGGGGTCTCTGTGTTTACTCACCTGTGTATAAACTCTTGGCTCGTGATGTTTCGGTATGCTAGAGCAGTGTTTCCCAACCTTCTCTCATGTGGTTCGTGATGTTTCGGTATGCTAGAGTAACGGTAAGGCAGGTATTTGAAATTGTTTAAAAAAAGAGGCAACATTTTTTACTATTGCCCACAGAATGTACCAAAACTCTTGCTTTGATTTTCAAAATCAAAATGTTGATCTTGACCAAAAGGGGCTCAGAGTCAAGTCCCCGCCCACCCGCATGCACCTTGAAATCAATTCTCCAATCGAACCCTCCCGACAACTTTATGGAGTATGATATCTGATCCCATTTTTAAAAACAGGAAAACGGAGACTCTGAACCCAAAGAGGAAACGGATGCCAGAAGTATCTGAGATCCTGTTCTGACCGTCCTGGACGGCCCTGTTCTCCTGCCATTCTTCCCTCCTGCCTGAGCACAGGCGCTGTGCTGAGCGGAGAACGCCAGCCCACTGAGCCCACTGAGCCCATACGCGTGCCCACACCTGCAGCATCCGGCACCTGAGGTCGGCAAGAGGGGAATCCACGTGCTAGCCTGGCGGCCAGGCACCGGACCCTGGTGACCTCCCCCTCAGAGGAAAGTGCTCACCTGGAACCTTTGGGTGCCAGGGACAGGGC